CACCACACTCACCACACTCACCACACTCACCACCCTGATCACCCTCACCACACTCACCACACTCACCACCCTCACCACACTCACCACCCTCACCACCCTCACCACACTCACCACCCTCACCACCCTCACCACACTCACCACCCTCACCACCCTCACCACCCTGATCACCCTCACCACCCTCACCACACTCACCACCCTGATCACCCTCACCACCCTCACCACCCTCACCACCCTGATCACCCTCACCACCCTCACCACCCTCACCACCCTGATCACCCTCACCACCCTCATCCCCCAGCGCGCCGTGTTGGAGGCCTTTGTCCGCATGTTCGAGGGCGGCTGCATCTACCGGGACAACCGACTTGTGAACTGGTGTTGCAAGCTCAAGACCGCTGTGTCGGACATCGAGGTGGACTACATAGATATTCCCAAGGTGGGTGGGGGCCTGGGGCTGGGTGGGTGGGGGGTTGGCGCTGGTGCTGTTGTTGTTGTTGGTGGTGAGTTGGTACAGGCACAGCATCATCGCCTCTTCCTCCCGCACGTCGCACAGGTTGGCCCTGTGGCGTTCGCAGCTCCTCAGGGGGGCCCTCCGGTAGGGGGGGAGGGTCGGCATTGGAGACATCGGCAGCGGTTTTCTTTTGAATTTTGAATTTTGAATCATGTCGTCTAATTCCCCCTACTTTGCACTCCACTTTCCTCTTTCCCTCCTTCACCTCCTCCTCCCCCGCGCTGTTTTCCCTTGTCTGTCTGTCTGTCTGTCTGCGGTACAGCGCACGTTGATGAACGTTCCCGGGTACTCCGATCCCGTTGAGTTCGGAGTGCTCACCTCCTTCGCCTACCCGCTGGAGGACGGCAGTGGGGAGATCGTGGTGGCCACAACCCGCCCCGAAACCATGCTGGGAGATACGGCAGTGGCGGTGCACCCGGAGGACTCCAGGTGTGCGTGTGTGTGTATGACGTTTATAACATTGTGGGCGTAAACGCCGGGGCCCAGGACCGAAACACAGCGCGGGTATGTATGTATGCATGCATGTATACATACGTGAATCGACCCGAGTCGCGATAAGAGAAATGCCGATGTATGACTTAAATGACTTGATTACATTGTGGGCACAGCGAAAGCGAAAGCGGGAGCCGGGGGGGATGCAGAAACCGAAACACAGCACACGGGTCGGGAGCACACAGCATAAGTCGGCAAGATGTATGTGCGTATGTATGTGTACCACATATTCACATCTTTCTCCGCAGCAGTTTGAGCCCTCAAATACACGCACACATACACGCACACATACATGCACACAGGACCACCATGCATCTCTTCCGCCTCCCACTCACCCCCCCACCCCACACACTCAACCCCCCCTCCCCCGGTGACCTCTCTCAGGTACACATCCATGCACGGCAAGTTCGTGGTTCACCCCATCAGTGGCCGCCGCATTCCCATTATCTGCGATGCAGAGTTGGTGGACATGAGCTTCGGAACGGGTGCCGTCAAGGTATGTATGTGTATATGTATGTATGCATGCATGCATGCATGGGTGGATGCAGATGTAATGTGTGTTGTATGTGTTTGTGTATGCGAGTCGGCGGTTTTTTTTCCGCTTTCCCCCCTCCTGGGCCCCCCCCTCCGTCCGCAGCCTGTTCAATGGACGTCAGTTGGCAGGCAGTTGCGATTCTCTGCCTCTTGCATCATCATCACCATCACCATCGTCATAGTCACCATCATACTTCAGTTCCGCACTCCCACCACCACCATCGCTCTCCGCGCCGGCCCCCTCCCCCACCGGCTCAGGTGACCCCGGCCCACGACCCCAACGACTTCACCACCGGCAAGCGACACTCCCTGGAGTTCATCAACATATTCGACGACGACGGCCTCATCAACGCCAACGGAGGCCCCTTCGAGGGGCAACCCAGGTTCAAGGTAACGCGTACTGTACTGAGCGACAACGCGGAAAGGCTGTTAACTTAGGGTTTTTCGCATTTTATTGCCTCCGCATTCCTCGCCTTCGCGCCCTTCTTCCCTCCTTCTCCTCTTCAACCTCCCGCTCCCAACAGCCACCCCCCACCCACTCCCCACCCACCCCCCACCCACCCACGCGCTCCCCCCAGGCCCGCATCACGGTGGTCGACCTGCTGAGGGAGAAGGGGCTGTTCCGGGGTGTGACGGACAACCCCATGAGGCTGGGGCTGTGCAGCAGGTCCAAGGTACGGGCGCGCGTATGCGTGTATGCATGTATTCTGCATGCACGTATGTATGCACGTACGTACGTATATATGTAATGTCCTGTAAATCTGGAAACTTTCAAAACCCAAAACCTTGAGTGCGCACCCCCCCACACACACACACCCATGCTCACACACTCGCGCTCAAACGCAAACGCAAAGGCAAGCGCACACATCCTCCGGTGAACTAGGTGTCCCCACTGCGTCAACCCACTGCGTCGTCGCACTCCTCGCTCCCCACCCAGGACGTCATCGAGCCCGTGCTGAAGCCCCAGTGGTGGGTGAGCTGCAAGGATATGGCGGCTGCCTCGTGTCAGGCGGTCAGGGACGGGACGCTGCAAATCATACCCAAGGTGATGGCGGGGGGAGAGGAGGGGGGAGAGGAGGGGGGAGAGGAGGAGGGAGAGGGTAGGAGGTGATGGTAAGGGGGGAGAGGATAGGAGGTGATGGTAAGGGGGGAGAGGGTAGGAGGTGATGGTAAGGGGGGAGAGATCAGGGAGAGAGTTGAGGCGTAGAGGGAGGGAAAGGGAGGAGAAGGGAAGAGGGTTTGTTTGGAGCGGTTGAGGGGTAGTTTCTTTTGTTTTCTGTTTGTTTGTTTGTTTGGGGGGGCCATCCTACACAAAATTTGTTGGTGGTGCATCTCTGTGCGCGGCGTCGCGAGATCGCCTTGTTAGCGGTAATCTGTGGCTCTGCGTCCTCCTCTGCTCTGTCTGTCACTCTGTCTGTCCGTACCTGTATACTTAGCCGTGTCCGTCTGTATGTCTGTCGCCCTGTCGTCCGTTGTTTCATCAACGTGTAGATCTTTCAATGCTGGAGACGTACACGTGCGTGTTTCACCCGATTTGGACGTGGATAGCCCTGCAGGCTTACATTGGGTTTTGAATGGATCAGACTTAGGGTTTTGAATGGATCAGACTTAGGGTCTTGAATGGATAATTAATAAAAAGGACCTTCCGTTTAGATTAATGTAAATTAAAAAAAATTAGTTTGATAACCTGATGTAAGCCTGATGCGGGTGGGCCACTCCCTTAGTTCTCTCGTTGCGCTCGTCTCCCTCTTTCCCCCCCCCCTCAACCAATCCCTCTCTTGCCCTGGCAGCAGCTTCACTCGTTCGTGGTTCGTTTCCCCCCCCCGCCCAACAATTCCCCACGCTCCCGCAGGAGTTTGAGGCGGTTTGGTTTCGGTGGTTGGAGAACATTCGCGACTGGTGCATCAGTCGGCAGCTGTGGTGGGGCCACCGAATCCCCGCCTACTACGTCGTATTCGAGGGTGAGTAGCGGATCAGCAGTACATGTAACTACCTGCCGTCCTCTTTATACGACATTTTGTCTCGAATGGTTTTTAGGTCGCGGATTAGGAACCCTTTTCGGAGAAAAATGCCCGCCCTAGGTTTCGAGCTGGGGATCTTACATGGGGGCGCTGTGGATGGTAAAGATAGGGGGCTGCGGGATGCCAAGAGTGAAGAATCTCACCGTCCTGACTAACTTCCTTCGGCTCGCTTCTTGAAACGGCTTTGGAATTCCGTAAAATGTGTCTCGCAAAAAAGACCAAAATGAAACAAACTTTGCATTACTTCTTTCCCGCCTTCCTTGTCTTCCTCCCCTCCCTCCCCTCCCTGGGCCTCCCTCCAAAACACCCCTCCCCCCGACCTCCCAACGCCTCCCCCCTCCCCCCAGGTGAGGACGACAAGTCCTCGGGCCGTCCCGGTATGCCCTCCGAAGACATGACGCGCTGGGTGGTGGGTCGTACACCCGATGAGGCGCGAGCTGCTGCTGCCGCCAAGTACCCAGGTCGGGAGTTCCGGCTGGTGCAGGACGAGGATGTGCTGGACACTTGGTGGGTGGGTGGGTGGGTGGGTTGTGTGTGTGTGTGTGTGTGTTTTGGGGGGTCAAGGCGGGGGTGTCTGGGGCGTGGAGGGGGTGTGGAGAAGGAAGCATAGAATTTGCGATATGATTTGTGATATGAGCACATATATATAAGGCGCCTTGTGTTCATAAGGGAGAACAGTTAAAATTCTGACCGATACAACGCCCCTCCAAGGGCGGAGTGCTTCGGTGGTCGTTCCCGTTGGGGAACGGTCAGGCCCGCACCGATGTGGAACAGAAACATACATTCGTACTCACACAGGTCAGGCACGAATTGCAAGGCACATACTAATGCCCCCGGGAGATCCCGGGATCGAGATCTGTCAGGATCGAAAAATCCTTCCGATGGTGGAAGGTAAAAGTGCCCCTAATCGATGGGACGGTGGTGGTGACTTGGGATAAAGTTGACCTGCGAGCTGACCAAGAATGGAGTTGAACCTCTGCCGTCGATCCATCCGGTAGATCCCGTTGGATGCCGGGTAGCGGCTGCAGGGTGAAGATATGACCCCCCTGTCCGTCCCACACATCATATTCTCTCATGACAACATAGCATTTGTCCCTGCCTTGCGTTTTTCCCGCGGTTTATGATCCGCCGTATTACCCTTTCTCCCCTCCCCTCTCTTTCCCCTACCGCAACCGTCTGTCACCTTCTATCTCCACCGTCATCCACTCCAGAGCCCCCTCTCTCTCCTCCCCTCCCTCCACCCTCCCCTCCCTGGCAGCAGCGTCACTCGTTTGTGGTTCGTCTTTCCCCTCCCCCTCCCCCTCCCGCCCCAACAGGTTCTCCTCGGGGCTGTTTCCCTTCTCCGTGATGGGCTGGCCCGAGCAGACGGCCGACCTGCAGACGTTCTACCCCACGAGCCTGTTGGAGACGGGACACGACATCCTGTTCTTCTGGGTGGCGAGGATGGTGATGATGGGCATTCAGCTCACAGGTGGGGGGGGGGAGGGAAGGGGAAGGAAGGGGAGGGGGGGGGCGAAATGGTGGGGGTTGTGAGGGGGAAGTGATGGAAATTGTTGAGTCTACGGTTTGGCTTTTTAGGGAAAGAGAGATGATATTGGTAACTCGAGATGGCGATTGAGAGCAGCAGAGAGATGATGATGATGATGATGATGAGTTACGCCTTCGTATCGGTATGTATGTATGTATGTATGCGTGTGTATGCGTGTACTTCTCCCCAGTGTCTACCCCCATCCTCCCACCTGTACAGACCCCTAGCAACTCTCCACACGTCCAGACGCGCACCTCTCTCCCCACACACCACCACACACCACCAACTGTTGTCCCCAATTCCTCAAGTCCCCCTTTCCTCCTTCGAGTTTGTGCATTTACGAAGAGCCCTTGTTGTACGAAGTGGAAGGTCTGTTTCTTTGGGCGCGTGGATTTCGTGCGCTCGTGATTTCCCTCCCCCCTCCCCCTCCCTCTCCTTTTGGTCAGTTCTATGTCTGGTGTACACTCTTGCCCTGGGGCAGCAGCTTCACTCATTCACGTGGTTCGTGGTTCGTCTTTCCCCCCTTCCCCCCCTCCCCCTGCCCCCCTGCAGGCCAGGTGCCCTTCAAGCAGGTCTACCTGCACGCCATGGTCCGTGACGCCCATGGACGCAAGATGTCCAAGTCCCTGGGCAACGTCATCGACCCCCTCCACGTCATCGAGGGTATCTCCCTGGAGGGCCTGTACGACACGCTGGCGGGCGGCAATCTGGATCCCAAGGAGGTGGAGCGCGCCAAGGCGGGCCAGAAGGCGGACTTCCCGGACGGCATAGAGGAGTGCGGCACGGACGCGCTGCGGTTTGCGCTGGTAGCGTACACGGCGCAGGTGGGTACACGGCGCGTGTGTATGGCACGTGTGTCATTTCAAATACCGTTTTAATGAACCGCTAATGAACCCCCTTCCCCCCCCTCTCCCCTCGGCGAACCCACTTGTGTTGTTGTCCCCCAGTAGATCCCCCCCCTGTGTTGTTGTTCCCTTCCATGCCCGTGACTGCCGCCTCTGCCTCCGCGTCAGTCGTCGTGACGGGCCACCCCGTGCAGGGCCATGCAGGCTCATGCAGGGCCATGCAGGCTCATGCAGGCTCATGCAGGCTCATGCAGGCTCATGCAGGGCCATGCAGGCTCATGCAGGCTCATGCAGGCTCATGCAGGCTCATGCAGGCTCATGCAGGCTCATGCAGGCTCATGCAGGCTCATGCAGGCTCATGCAGGCTCATGCAGGCTCATGCAGGCTCATGCAGGCTCATGCAGGCTCATGCAGGCTCATGCAGGGCCATGCAGGCTCATGCAGGCTCATGCAGGCTCATGCAGGCTCATGCAGGCTCATGCAGGCTCATGCAGGCTCATGCAGGCTCATGCAGGCTCATGCAGGCTCATGCAGGCTCATGCAGGCTCATGCAGGGCCATGCAGGCTCATGCAGGCTCATGCAGGCTCATGCAGGCTCATGCAGGCTCATGCAGGCTCACGCCACCGCCCACTGATCATCACCCGCGGTATGGTCCCCTCGTTCTTCTCCTCCCCTGTTGCTCGTTTCTCTCGTCCCTTGTTCCTCGTCGTCACTGCCCGTCCACCCCTTGCTCTCCCCTGATCCCGCAGGCGCGCGACATCAACCTGGACATCAAGCGCGTGGTCGCTTACCGGTACTGGTGCAATAAGCTGTGGAACGCTATCAAGTTCGCAATGATGAACCTGCCACCCGACTTTGCACCGCCGGCCCAGGAGCTGGTGGCGGCGTCCTGTCCGGAGGCGTGTCGCTGGATATTGTCCCGTCTGAACAACGCCATTCGCGTCATCGTGCAGGTGGGGGTTGGTTTGGGATGGGTTGGTGGGCATATGTGGGCTGGGAAGGGTAGGGAGGGAGGAGGGAGGAGGGGTCTGTGCTGCGCGGTGCTGCGCCAGTACGCGTAATGACGCCGCGAGGCTGGCTGCTTTTTTGTATGGCGTGGGGATTGAGGGTCTCCTCATGCTTGTAATGTATAGTTATAATTTTTTATTAGATTATTATATATAATGATTATTAGACACAATTATATTTGTTAGGGGGAAAGGAGGATGGCACGATGATGAGGACTAGGACTGGGATCTGCCTTTTGCACACGTTAGGCCTGGATGCTAAGAGTTGTGCTGCTGGTGTTTCGCTGCTCAACCAAGTTATATTTTGCACGCAGCCACCTTCAAAACGTAAACACAGTCACACAGTCACACACTCACTCACTCTTTCTTTCTTTCTTTCTTTCTCTCACACACTCACTCTCTCTTTCTTTCTCTTACCCACCACACGTACTCCTACTATTCCGTCCTTTTTTGTCCTTTTCCTCAGGCGATGGAGGCCTACGACTTCTCCTCTGCGACTCAGCGCGTGTATGCTTTCTGGCAGAACGAGGTGTGCGACGTGTTCATCGAGGTGATGAAGCCCGTCATGGCGTTTGACGACAGCCAGCCCCACCTAGCGGATGCCAAGCGTCTGACCAGGGAGACCCTGTGGACTTGTTTGGACTGCGGGCTGCGGCTGCTGCACCCCTTCATGCCGTTCGTGACGGAGGAGCTCTGGCAGCGGCTGCCCAGAAACCCGGCCCTGGTGGGATTTGAGGGAGGGGAGGGGAGGGGAGGGGTGGGGACGAGGACCAAGGACTGACGTGTGTATGTATGTATGTATGTTTTTGCATGTGGTGATGGAGACATCCCCTCCACGTCCGAACTGGATTGTAGATCAACAAAAAAATCCACGAACAAAAGCTTGACAAGCCGTGCGATAATGATGATAAGGAGCTCTGCTGTCTTCTGTAGAGGGTATTTTGTGTAAAAATTGGGAGTGAGGGCGCAAACGTTGCGCCAGGTCTGCAAGCCCCAGCAGCCCTCCACCCGCCCCTTGTTGCCCACTGACCCTGCTGCTGCTATCTCCCGCCCTTCCCGGCCTTCCCCACCTTTACCTTACTTCTGTCCACCCCCCCTCTCTCCCCCCCCCCTCTCTCCCCCCCCATCCTTCCCACCTCCCACCGATTCAGGCGGATGTCCCCAGCATCATGCTGACGCCGTACCCTGTCCCGGTGGCTGGCTGGGACGACCCCGCCGCGGAGCGAGCCGTGGAGTTCGCGATGTCGGTGGTGGTGGCGGTTCGTAAGCTGCGCAGCGACTACGGCCTCGTCAAGCAAAAGCCGCACCTCTACGTGGCCCTCACCGATGTCGGTGAGAGGAGGGGGAGGGGGAGGGGGAGGGATATACATGCGGGTCCTCCCCGCCTCCGTGCGTTTGTATGTGTGTGCGTGTGTGTGTGTGTGTGTGAGTGAGTGCGGTGTGAACCAACGGATGGAGGTGATGTTGTTCTTGGCAGTGGTGGCGGCGATGGTGGCGGTGACGACGGAGCGGGTTGGGAACAAGTTCGGTGCGAGCGATAATACCTCGTCTTCCTCCTCCTTGCCCCTCCCCTTCATTCGCTCCCTCGCTTGCACTTAGTCGCGCTATGTTTTCCGTTTTTCCAGTTTTCCGCATTCCGTTTTTCCAGTTTTTGTTCTAGTTATTTATTTGGTTAGTTCGTAATGCAATGCTTGCGCTTCTCTCTCCCTCTCTGCGGCAGTCTCTGTGCCCCTCCGGCTCCCTCCTGTCCCTCCCGTCTCGCCCTAGTTGACTACCCCTACTAATAGAGATACGCAGAGGGCTGATCGCTTTGCTGTGCGTCTCCTCTTCTCTCTCTAGTACTGTGCTGGGCTGGGAGGGATATGTGCACCTCTCACCCTCTTTGCCCTCTCTCTGCCCTCACCCTCACCCACACATACACCGCCTCTCCGACCCCCCTTCTCCTTCTCCCCTCCCCTCCCAAAACACACACACACACACCCCTCCGCCCCTCAGACAAGGCCGCCATGCTCCGCGGCCTCAGTCTGGAGGTTGCGACTCTGTCCACCTCGTCGGACGTCACTCTGATGGCCCCCGGTGAGGCCGCCCCGCTGGGCTGCTCTGTGGCCATAGTGGACGAGGCCACCACCGTGCACATGCTGCTCAAGGGTATCCTGGACCCCGCGCTGGAAATCGCCAAGTTAGAGAAGAAGGTAAGAAGGTGGTGGGTAATGGATGGTGGGAGAGGTGGTGGTGGGAGATGAGTGACGGAGGTGAAGGTTGCGGTCGGAAATGGTGGTAATACTGGTGGTTGGGGTGATGGTGGTGGTGGAGTTTGTGGATAGGGGGGCTAGGAAGTGGAGAGTCTGTCGCTCCACTTTACCAGCAGAGGTCCGCCAGGACGTTGAAAAAGGCCGAGTGGCGCTTTTTCTTTTCTTTCTTTTCCTTTCCTATCCCGGGTTCGTCGCAGCCTCCTCGGAAGTGGAAGTGGAAGGCAGCGCACTCCACAAGCAAAACTTCGAAACGCCAAAAGCATGCCGAGTGGAGATCATGCACAACTACGGATGAAACGGTTCATTATGCTCCAATCATCATTACATCCAAACGATTAGCGTCAAGAGATCCTTTGACCTTTATGCCGCTCTCCTTTGGACTTTTGCCTCCGCCCTCTACCCCCTACCCCTACCCCTCTACCCCTACCTCTACCCCTACCTCTACCCTACCCCTCTACCCCTACCG